GTGGACTACTTGCAGTCGTTGACAGCTCCTCCAAGCAGCTTCCCCTACAATCCGGATGCCGGCCTCAACTAGGACATGGCGGACTTCCGTATGGAAGGAAAACGCTTGAGGTGGAATTTTGTCATTCTTGCCAAAAGGCACACGTATGGCTTTGGCTTCCCCTTTGAGCTGCCCTTTGTGTACTGCTTCCACAAAACATTGTCGGGCGAGCACGTAAAAACACTGGTTGGCACGTAGTGTGCCCCGAATGGGGTCAGCTAAGACTTTATGGGTGTTTTTTTTGTACGAATTGCAGCTCGCACCCGAAAGTGCTGTTGCTTCCCAAGTAGGGGAGCTGTTCTAGCACTGCATTTTCGAAACCATGGAGTCTGTCGTGCTCGTGCGGGTCGATAACAATGTGAGACTCTTCACCCGCCAGGGTGGTGAGTGTAAGAGGCAGTGCCGACGATCTTTCCTTACTACCTTCCAGGCTAGGACTGGGCATAGCGTCTGCCATGCTCACAACTTGTAAGTTGCTACCTTGTGCCCATAGGCAAACGAGGCAGGAGTGCATGATGTTTCTCGCAACCCTGATCTGGAGGTGGCAGTTGACCGTCACTCCCCTAGACTATGGATTGCGGCTACCTGGACTGTGAGGCACTCTATTTTTCAACTCGCCTACCCTGGACCGGAGCTAAGGCTCGTACCCAGGCACTTAATGGGTGACAGGGATGGTGCAATTTGAGAAAAGTGCATCCTAGGCGGAGGCCAGTTCTTTGTCCCACTTTTGCTTCCGATCTCCTCTGGTAGATCACATGTGACAATCCTGTGGATGAGAGCTCCGCAATGCCCAAACTGGGACTTTGGCTTGAGTAGGGAAGAATCCCTTCAGGCTAGACCAGATACATGCCCCGTGTCTGGGATCATATGCAACCAGGGCGGCCATCGCATCCTTGGACAGATGGCGAAGGCGTTTTCTTCCGCGTAGATTCCTCTCCATTTGTGCCGGCCGGGTAACTTGACCAGTCTCCAGAGCGCAGTACAGTCCAAGAAGGCCCTGCTTGCTATGTACCTTAACGAGGGTGGTATAGCAAGTTCTGGCAGGGCCGCACAGTTCATGAAGGCTTTGACTCTAATGGTGTGAAGAGTAGGCGGTAGACTGACTTCCCTAAGGCTAGTACAGTGTACAAAGGTGAATTCTTGGATTTCTTCAATCTTTGTATTGGAGAGGTCGACTTTCTTTAGTAAGTGACAGTTGTCACAGGCATGTGCCCCTAGTACCGAGAAGTCTTGCGTGAGTGTAAGTGTGGTTATCCCCGTAGAGCTAAGGCAGCCTTGCGCCAGTTCTCTGGCAGTAGTTTGCAGTGGCAGCCCGCTTGGGGGGAGAGCCTCTCGCAGGTTAAATTCGGCAAGGCTTATACAGTCTCGAAAGAGGTAGTGCCCAAACTTGGTGGTGCTACAAAACTGATTGGCAACTCCTTCAGCTGCATACACCCATTGCAAGGAGCTGCATTCCGCAAAGGCTTTATAGCCAAACTCTCGACAACCAGGTGCAGTGACACTATTGAGCAGTTGGCAGCCTCGAAACGCATTGTCAGCAATGCCCACGACAGTTGCCGGCATTCTGACAATTCGAAGTTGTCGGCAACTTTGCCAAGCTTTTGCACCAACAAATCTGATGCCTGGCTCAATGCTGATATGACGTAGCCGCGGTACCCCTGCAAACGCCCCTTCAGGGACCATTTCTTCTGGGTTCATGGGGACATGGACAGCTAGCGGAATGTCGTGGAGGGGACACCCTTCTAGGCATTCCTGCGAGTGGAGGACTTCGCTGCAATCCCGAAAGATGATACAGTACTCCATACTCTGCTGCAGTTTCTCCCAGAGTGGGTTCTCTAGGTAGGTCTGCGTGGCCACTTGCAAGAAGTCAATGTCTGTGGCCCTGCCTTGGCCGGAATGGTTGGGGCTTTGGCAGTCACTTGCCCCGGTTGTTGAAAAAGGGGACGCTGGTCTGCTAGCGTCAGTAAGAGAGCGTCAAAGAGCTCGGCAAGAGGCAGCCGTAGGCGAAGGACTACTTCCACTTGCGGCGGACCTTCAGGGCCATGGGTAAGAGAGCACTGATGGGGGCCAACAATGAAAGGAAGAGCCATTGGACTCACTACTCACTACGAGGAGGCCTTAAAGAAGCTAGCATCATTCGAGCCCGAACAGCCGCAAGCACCAAAACCTTCAAGCAGGATCCGACATAAGCGAATCAACAAACAAGGATGACTGATTGCAAATGCAATTAAAAAAGAGGGGTGGTAGCAGTTGCCCAGCAAGGGGTAAACGATTTCCTTTTCCACTTGTTCCACGGAGTTCTCTCACTGTTCATGCAACCTGCCCGTCGAGGTGGCGTGTCTATTTGTGGTGTCCTGCGTGTCTGAAAGGGGTGTCCATCTCGCTGGCCAGCGCCCAACACGCATTTGCCCCCGGCTGGACGCTGAGATGTTGTCGGTTGCTGTGTATGCTCTGAAGAGTATGTTGGATGTCGTACGCCAAAGTGCGCGCATTTCTTGCACGAGTTTCGAGTTCACGACTAAGGCGTGCATTTGGCGCATCATACCCAGAAGCCAGATCCTGCTCAGTGAGCGCTTGCAAGGCATATACCCCCAGTTGTCTAGAGACACGTGAGGCGCTAGCCTGGGGAGGGCCTTTGACTCCACCTATTCCTGCTGGCTGCGGTAGGGAGGGGGCAGGGCGAAAGGGGGTGTGAAAATGTGTGGTGTATGGTTTAATGCTTTTTGACCAGTTTTGTGCATATTTGAGATTATTTGACTGCGTTTAAGCTCGACACTTTCAATGTCTGGCATGGGAATTGCTTGCAATAGGAATACCTCATAGCCTTTTGCGCTTAACTTTGGCTCAAGGTGCGTGTAAGAGTGGTGCGGGAGCTTTCGCTTTGCTTGTGAGCTGTTGCGCGTGCTTTGTGTTTATAATCTACTCACTTGAGGTAATAGGTTTTTCAGGCACATTGCCATTTCCACAACCATCGCTCCAACCTTTTGCGCCGCCGCCTAGCACCCTTCTGGGCCGCAGCTGCCTTTCGTGTGGCAGGCGCATACACAGCTTCAGAAAGAGCTGCGGAACGCGTGGTCACCGATGGGCCGCGCGTGCCATTCGTGTGGCGGCAGACGCAACACAGAGCCTGCAGAAGAATCGGATGTGGCAGGGGCAGCACAGAGAGCCTCAGGAGGACAGAATGGACGCATGGGCGCCGCGGGTCTGCGCGTGTGGCAGGCGCAGCCACTCATCACACACCACGCATTACACTCCACTCATCACACACCGTCTCTCACCACTCAAGTGGTGTGTGATGAGTTGTGTGAGATGAGTGGTGAAAGATGAGTGGTGTCAGATGAGTGGTGTGTGATGAGTGGTGTGTGATGAGTGGTGTGTGATGAGTGGTGTGAGATGAGTGGTGTGTGATGGGTGGTATGTGATGAGTGGTGTAAGATGAGTGGTGTGTGATGCGAGTGGTGTAAGATGAGTGGTGTGATGAGTGGTGTGAGATGAGTGGTGTGTGACAAGTTACCCCGCTCATCTCACACAACTCATCACACACAACTCATCTTACACCACTCATTTTGCACACTCATCTTACACAACTCATCACGCCCCACTCATCTTACACAACTCATCACACACCATTCATCTTACACCATTCATCTTGCACTATCATCACACACCACTCATCTCACACCACTCATCACACACCACTCACCACTCATCTCATTCACTTTTATCGTCCAGTATTTTTCCGTCCTTTTTTCTATCAGTCTCTACTTCTCGTTGCTGGCTCTTACAAGCTTAACATGTGGGGTTATCCAGTCCTTTTATCTATCTGGCTTTTCTCTTGGATCTCATGCTTTTGCTATCTGGGGTCTATGCCTATGCTGGAGTAATTTTCTCCACCTGTCACTTTTTATGATCTTCTGCAAAGTGATTGAACCACTTTTTGGCTGGCAAAGTCCATTCTTAGTTTAAAAAAACCGTTTAAAGGTCGAAAACAACATAAAGTCCAGCTTGGGGTTGAAAAACACCATTTCATGCTTTCGAGGTCAAAAACACGTATCTCGTTTCTTGCAGAGTTCGTCGTAGAAACTAGTGGCACATTTAAGCATGCGCCGACCTGCAGCAGGTTTGATCCATTCGCTTGCATGTTGGATCTTGTCCGTTTTTTTTTGGATTTTTTGTTTCTTTTCTTGCGACGTTTGCCTCGACCTCACAAAGCGCTTCAAAGGAAAAACAAAGCATCGCTTGACTGCGTTTTGATCGACTGTGCACTCAGATCAATTTGCGTTGTGGGAACGCAGCAAGGATTTTTTTGGAAATGCAACATTTCTGCACTTGATTTGTTGTAAGTTTCAAGCAACAAGCAAATTGTACGACTGCATGAACGGGTCAGCACGCACTTTCGCTTGGCACTTGTCGACTTCCAACAGAGGATTGAAATGTGTGTGGCATTCAGCCTGAGACGCTGACGAAGGTCAGCGCACACAGTGTTGTGCTGCACCATGAAACTGAGAGTGCAAGGATCATCGGCCTTTGACCCAGCTGTGCATCACTGTCGCATGGACATCATTTGCAATCCATGTAATTTTGCGACCAGTTCCTGCAGTTGACAGTGACAGAAACTGTTGGGGCGTGATACAAAGTAGAAACGTCCTCAAAGGGTGTGAGAGTTTTTCATTTCAAGTTCAACAGTTTTGTAGGACACTTTTGCCTGGCACTTTTGCAGACAGTTTGGAAAGATGCACGTTGCTTCACCGGGCGGTGAAGAAGCAGCACTTCTCAAGAAGTGTCGAAGATACGCAGGCATCACGCGAAACCACACCACACCACTCACCATTTTCTAGCACTGGTTTGTGCACAAAAAAGTGACAAGACTTTCATCGTCCCAGTCAACGGCAGCACCGTTTTGGTTGGTGTCATTTTAGAAATTGTTGGCATGGACATGGTCTCGCAACAACACAACCACAATTAATTGAAGCTGCAAACAGCAACGCTTGCCATGGCTACTGCCGGCGGCCGTGAGGCTCTTTGTTTTTAGCAGTGATCAGGTGCTTGGTTGCAATGTAGCGTGCACTTCGATTCGCAGGATGCAGAAGTGGACGAAGTATTGGAGTGGATTCCGGAGCCACTTGCTGGCCATTCTTGTGTTCCTGTTTGGATGGCGGATTGCATAGTTGTTTTTATCGTGGAGTTATGAATATTGCTACAGAGGATTGAAACAGGTGAGTTTGCTTTGTTTGCAGCAAGGCGTAGAGGGGAAGTACTTCCAATTCTTGCTGCTTTCCTGGCGTGTTGAACCAGGGCGTCACAAATGGTTATGTGCAATTCTTGAGGGCGTGGGTATTCAAAGTGCCAAGCCAGGTGACTTCAGCAAACTACAAACAGGTGTTTTCCTTTTGGGAGCCCTTGGCTCAGCAAGTTTGGTGCGTGTATGTTTAATTTCTTGGTGGGTATTTCGTTGATCCTGAGGTCGTCTCTGAGAACCCTTGGCTATCCCAGGCGGGAGACAGAAAGACTAGTTTCGGTTGCCACATTGATTGCAGCTTTTCAGCCATTTTGTGGCAGGGTATAGAGGCTGGAAAGGTTGACTTTGGAGTCAGGGCTGATTGCTTTGGTTTTCAGAGTTGGCTTTTGGATGGTTCAACGTTCACATTCTTCATGGTTGCTGTCCGATTGCTGTTGTGGCTCAGCCAGTGGCAATAGGCCAACAGGCTTGATCCCCTTCGGTCAGGTCTTTTGTCCTACATCGCTGAGTCATTGACATTCAAGCGAGTTCCATGCACTGCTGTATCAGAGTTGTGGCCACTGCACTGAGGCTTTTGCCATTGAAGTCATCGAGAAGATGGGAAAGAAGGCTTACCGCTTCGAACTCAAAATGCAAACGTTTCAGCGAGTGTAATGCACAGCACAATGCACAAGTCAGAGTTCAATCGTTTCGATGTTGTGCATGAATGCAGGTGTTTGTGCAACAAAACAAGCAAAGGAAACGACACACAAAAGTTCCGAGCCTTTCGTTGCACAGAATATTTGTCGTTATGGGGTGGTAGGCCTCCCAATAGATTGGGTATATTGTAAGGGGGATAAGCCAATGAGTAATTTATTGACAAGCTCTGTGACTCTGCAGCATGGTAGCTAGCGCAAAGGCTTGGGGTTCTTCTACATAGGGATCTTACGCTTGAACCATCTTAAACCCCCTTGGGCTATGACCAGATGTTATCAAGACTTGGTATGGCAATGTGAAAGCCTTTGCTTTGCCCCATCTATTCTGCCCATGTTCTTTGCAATGAAAGTTCCAAAAGCTGCCGCTCCAGCACCACTTGTTGCAGTGCGTTGCGAGCTTGAAGTTTGCCCCTTAAATTCAGCTGCGTTCTAAGTGCATCAGGGTGTTCCAAAAACTTTGCCAGCACCAAAATGATACATACTTCTTCTTGCAGACCTGTCCACTCCGTTGAGATGAGAACTAACAAAGTTGGAGTTAACCAGAGTAGCAGTGCAAACTACACATTGTTGTGCGACCTGTTGTTGCATTCAGCAGAAATCACGAGACCATGAAGTGGAGTTGTGAAACATCCGACGTTCTACTTGCAGCCTGGCATCGGCGAACTCCTTCGAGGGCCACTGGACTTTAGCCACGTTAGAAAGGCAGTGTGCTAGCTGGAACACCACTGCATGGACAAAGCAGGTGATACACTTGGGAACTTGCTGGCAACGATGTTTTCCAAAGGGCAAAGACTTTGTTGCACTTCTTTCGGAAGCCTTGAAAGGGCGGCCTACGAAATACGGCCTACGCCTTAGCCACCTTAAATGCATTCATTAAAGGTACCCCAACATGGTCTGGGCAGCTTCATACTCGGTGGTGGTGGAGAGCTGCAAGTGGAAAAATGTTTTCAGTTTAGAAAATGCAAGTGATGCAAGATAAGTGCAACGCATCAGCAGCATCATGAACTTGTCTCGGACTAACGCTTAAGCGATTTCACGCCGATATGTCAAGACTATATAACATAACTTTTTCATCTTACAATGTGATATTGTTAGCGGAACCCATTCGAGATGGTCATAGGTCCCCCTTGTCCTTTGGAGGCAAAAGGAACCAGGAGGGCCGACCACACCATGGATTTGGTCAAATCCTCACCAGACTACGTAAACTAGCGGATCTGCAGGTCGTGTTTGTTTTGAGGGCCCTGCCTTTTTAAACCGCAAGTGCATGTCTCTAGAGGTGATTCACCTGTAGAAATCTGCTGTTCTTTTTTGTGTGAGGGGAAAAAGAAGAAGGCAAAGCTTACGGGCACTCCGGATGTGGTGCGCTTTAAGGGCACAAGGGAGTTCTGCATACTGCAGGCGGGACAGTTGCTTGAGTGCAGCTTTCGGTAAATGCTGCTATTTTCGCAATCCAGGAATGCAAAGAAATGATGGAGAGTTTGCCCTTTGTTGCTCAAGATGCCTTGGACGACTTTGCCTACAAGAAGGCCTGGCTGAAATTTCCATTGAGCAGTCTTCAGACATCACACTGCCCTTGGGTGCATGTTGTAAGGTCGCACGCTTTTTGAACATGGTCGGCCTACTCGCAGAATTCCTGGGTATCAACTCCAACAAGGACCGGGCAAGTTTCAAGCTCAACTAAATATGTTATGTTCCTCCGCCTGCCATATAGAGTTGATCTCCACTGTCCACTACTCCTTTCTCCACCAGTTTTGATATTTGTCGCTGCAACGGCTACAGGACTACAGGTTCAAGTACTTCCACAGGCCACTGGCAAAACGAAACCCTTTGTGGGCAAGCAAAGCATCTCTTTAAGCTCAGCTCTTTGTTTGCCCTGAGGTATTTGTCACCGACTCCTCAATTTTTCCCGACTGGCTTTTGCGTGGATGTTATCCGAGAGGCCAATGAGTCAGCAAAGTGAAGCGTTTGCTGCAGCTAGAGAAGCAATAATGATATGTTCAGTTGGTTGCGACGACAGCACTCATACCTATTCCAGGCAAGGATTGCAAAAGACAAGCCTGGCGTGTGCTTCAGCAGCAGAGTTGCCGTCAATCTGCTTTGCACGATACATACTGGGTGCTCGCTGGGGGCACAATTTACATAAACAATGATATGAGAACTATCTGCCTGCAACCTGCATGATCTGGGCACTACGCCCCAAAAAAAACCAGAACAAAAAACGATGATCTGGACTCTATGCCCAATCTTAAAACCAGAAAACCGAACAAAGAACAAACAAACCAATAAAAACAATGATTTGGACGCTATGCCCAATCCTAGGACCAAAAAAAGAACAAACCAAACACACAATGATTTGGAAACTATGTTCATCCTACAACTGTTTGGATTCGTTTGGACAACAATTTTTCGTTTCTTTTTTGGTTTGTTTGGTTTGAGAAGTAGTCTATACGCACAACACATGGTTATAAACAACGTCTTCTGACGTGGCTAATCATTTGCAGCATTTCAGTTTCAACTCCATACCGCCAATCTCATTAGGAACAAGAAGCTACTAGGGGCTCCTGGCATCGCTACTAGTAGCAAGGACGCTAAGGGGCTCCTGGCCCTACTACTAGGAACAATGTTTGCTATTGGGAACAATCTTCAATAGTGCTACCAATACAACATTGAAGTTGGGACTGACTATTTTGTGTATCTGACCTTTTTGGTACCTTTTTGTCTCCCATATTACCTACAGTATGTATATATACATCCTAACATTTATATAAATGCAACTACAATTGCATCTACAACAATAAGGCAATGTATTATCCAGTGAGTGAGATTCAAGGATAGAAACGCTTTGGCAAGTCAAAATATTCAGAACATTAACACCTTTCATATCAAGGTGAAATCCACACCCGCAATAATTACTGTACACTAATTATTGATATTATCCAAGAACCACTGAATATTTACATATCCTTTTTTTGGTCTTTTTCTTTTGACTGATTTATCCTGCATTTTGTAATTTTCATTTATTCTTTCAAAATTGCTTATCATGCATTTTGTATAGACATCATCGTTGGTATCATTATTATACCTATAGAATTTAGCCTTATTAAAATCTCTACGTCTTTTTAATGCTGTCCAAACCCATTCAGGATAACTGTTTACACGACAATGGTTATAATGAAATATTGTCATGTCACCATCAATGCAGCTAGGCACAATGACAAGTTGAACACCAAGCAATTATGAAGTTTTTCCTTACCTTGTCAATCTCTAATGATTGACGCATATTTGTTTTCACATTCTTCAAGGTAATAATTTCAATACCAGACCATATGAACAATTTTGTATTTACACGTTACATGGAAAACACTTGCTTTTGATTTGGTATATCCTCAGCATATCAAGAATTCACCTACTGTACTTTATATTCTGTCTTTTTTTGCGTTCCAGTTTCTTAATCTCACTTGATACATTTGTACAGGTCTTATTCAAATATATAGTATTTTATGTACTTTCAGCAATATATCAGGCACAAACAATTTGTCAAGTCAGCATATTTTTCATATCTTTGGTATTTGTCAGCTCCTGAACTTGCTTTAGTTGTTTGGTAACAACTGTTGCAACAGTAATTTTGTTATGCTTATTTTGCTCAACAAACTATATGATTTTCCAATATACACTCAAACCACTGAAACAGATCAAATTCTGAATAATCAAAAGGTTCTCTTTTAACATCACCAACACTTATACCAAAAAAAATGTTTATTGTTGTGGCATCGCTTTCAACAAATTCTTGTAATAACCTATTAGTAGGGCATACAAACAATGCTGTGTAGCCTTTATCAACAATTGTCTGGCAGATATGACTTTTGTCTGTTCCTGCAACGAATCCCCTTTACTAATAATGTGTCATTTTATCAATTTTACTAACAATATCATCAGTATCATACTCTTCAATTTGAGTTTATCAATTTTTATAGGTTCGTATTTCGACAATTTGATTTTCTACAACTTGGTAAAGTTCATTAGGCAATTTGATATCCACATACTTGCTCACTCTCCAGCGTCCAATCTTATTATCAAAATCCAGTACTTCCCTTGCGTTTTGTTCATCTTCAGCCTTGATGGTGAAAGCATCAATCTTAACACTATATACTGTAATACCTGCATTTTTCAGTTTAAAGTGGGCTTTATACATTGACAACAAATGGTGTCTCTGTCAAAATTAAGAAGTAATATGCTTCCTGTTCAGTGTCAAATGATGAAGGCCAACTATGGTTTCCCTCACTTCCTTCTTCAACTTCTTCTCAAGTCACCACAGCTGCATGCATATATATATATATACACATGTTTTGTGTGTATATATATATAGATGATTTCAACCCAGGACCTTCAATGGAGTCTTGCATACCTATGAAGAGACCATGAAAGATCAAGCAGTGTCTCGGCAGAGTGGCCACTGGATCAGGATTGCTTTTTGCAAAGTGGTGCTAGCGATGCCAATCACTTGAATTGGATTTCAGGCATCATCATTGTCACAGTCATATGCAAACAAGATTCGCATG